GAAATTGTTGAATACGCTTTCAGACTGTATATTTCTGAAAACGCTTTCTGAGTTGAATACGTGTTCATTGGCAATCAGTTGTAGTCTCCTCAAATATATACGGTGACCATTGATGATGACCGGTGACATCAAAACTAGACTCCAGGCTATAAACGTCGTGATTTGTGCTCTTTCTTTCATACGTATCACTCATTGGTATCAGACCATATCAGACTTTATTTCAGTGATTGCACAGTTCAAGTCATATACTTTTCTCCTATAAGATATTTTATGGACGTTGAGAAAAATTTTCTATCCAGTGGATAACGCTATCCAGGCTTCGTGCAACCGGCCCCTGGTATTTTGGCGATTTAAGGTATTCGTGTGGACCTTTGCGTCAGTTGGCCGGAGTTTCATCATCACTGTTGAAGGAGACTTAGGACTTTGCGGTATTAAGACTGAAGTTATTATGATTTTTAACGATCATTTCATTCAAATGGAAAATGTTAACGATGCTGCTAAGTCATGGTCTGATCCCGAAACCCTAGTTTGTACGAAAAGACTCGTCCAGATTACAATCTGGATTCGGTGAAATATCTTTTGTAAAAAGTAGGCGCTTTAAAGAAACATTCTGCTCCTGAACCTTTCACCATTGTTGAACTTGGTGCAGGTACTGGCAAATTTAAAAGAGCCGTTCTCAAAGTGTTGAAACAACATAGTGTTCAAAATTTCAAAATCATTGCGACGGAACCAATAAAATCAATGTGTGATAAATTCAAAGAAATGGTACCTGAAGTTGAAATAATACAATGCTCTGCAAGTGATTTATCAGGAAACGTTTTCAAAACTAATTTTGCTCGAATTCATGAGAACAAGACGTGATTAAACAAGTAAACTGTCAGTTAAGAAAATTTTCATTCAGAATTTACCGGAAAAAGACAAAAGCTTACCGTAAGAATGATTTAATGTCGAAGCACGGAAAATTTACCAAATCATTGTAAAGCTTCAGCATCTGTAAATGTATAACAAAACAATTATTAAAGTAAATGGTTTGAACCCGGGAGTATCGTTATATGTTTGTAAATGATGATCGTCCAGGTTAATAAAGTCCTGAGAAGGACTGTTGTTGTTGATTTTGAATGACGTTTCGACAACCTTAGCGGTAGTCGTCTTCATCTTCTTTGACTCTGAAGATGACTACCACAAAGGTTGTCGAAACGTCAGTCAACAACATCAAAAACAGTCCTTCTCAGGACTTTATTAACCTGGACGATCATCATTTACAAACATAAAACAATTATTGAATTTGTCTTTTGCTTCATGTGAAGAATCATTCTGATCTGGGTCTGACTACTTCTTATTATCATGATGAATCTCCTATAATAACTGTTAATATTAAGTGGCAATCCTCACTTCGGGTGAAATGGCGCACTTTGATTTGCTTGGAACCATTTTTGCCAGCCACACCAACACAGGGACAATTTTGCCAATATAAAAAAGCTTCCATACAAACAATGTTTTTTAAATGAATGAGAACTATTCCAGTGCGGCCCTTGAAAACTGCTTTAATTGCTGGCGAGAGGGGGTGGGAGGCTAGTGCTAATCTGACTTAGCTCGAGTTGATAACAAGATTTATGATAGAGAACATGGACGCAGGATTGTCATAAGGAAATGAATTTGGTCCTTACTTGGCAAATAATGGCAATACCAATCATTACGCATGCGAGAATATAAAACGATGACTTTTTTGATGCTTTTCATCTCTGGCGCAGTCCTACTCTAGACTGAAACTGTGCAAGCAGGCCATTTACAGTAGCTCTCTGTTCTGCTGTAAAGGAACTATCAAAGGCAACTTTTTCGAGAAGTTCGATGACACAATGATATCGCGGGAGGAAGACTTTCAAACTAAATTCATACGAATTCCAGCGAACTGTGTTGATGCGTTTCAGCGAGGGGACTTTAAGCTATTGATCTTTCTGTATCGTTTCAAAAAGAGTATGGACATTTTCAGACTGGCTGAACAGGGAGTACACTTTCTCCAGATTATCGAACAAACAACTCACATCAATAGCTGAGCTAGCTGAATCAGACAGGACAAAGTTGAGCGTATGAGCGTAGCAATGCGTATAAACTACATGTTTACCGATTTCATCTCTAATAATTGCCTGAAGACCATTGTAGCAACCACTCATATTTTATGTCCCATCATAAGTATGAGAAACTAGCTTAACAAATGTGACTCCACGGGATTGGAATGCTTCCATAATGCACGTACGTAGTAGCTGAGCAGTTGTACCAGAAGCTCATTCACAACACAGCAAATGCTCAACTATCAGGGTCAACTATCTAACACAAATGCTTATGTTGTTCATGATGACTTGTAGTTTGTGTAAGCTATCAAAACCCATGCTTTGCATTTGCATGAGTAATTGACATTTCGTGGTTATTTACCACGCTATGCTGTTTCTTCCAGTTAAAAAACCCAGATGAAACAAACGCTTTTCCTTGATTACTACGAGCTAATTTATCATGTGATGATCTGTCAGTAAATAAGAGGCAAGATATACGGAAAAGACTGTCGCTGGACAAGAATACGCAACCCATCTTTGTCTTTTTCCATTCTTATGAATGAAAACGTTTTGGGAGCAATATCTAGAACGCTTACAAAACATAGTTTTCCTTAACTGCAAGTTTAACTGGTTTGGTTGGCAAGGATCCATTTTTATCAATGGGATTTTGTCCTGAGTACACAGCACCAAGCCAACAAGTGATGCAGGGACAACGGTTGCATTTATATCGATGACTAATTTGGGATGGAAAAGAGTCTATATTGGATAGTGAACAGCTTTAGTGTTATCAGTGCTTATTTGCACCTTTTCTAACATTGGCACCTTTCCTGTTTTCTCCACAGCTTTCATCAGTTTTAGCTCGTCAATATCACTTTATGCATCATTTTTCGAACACGGTTGTACATTTAGCTTTGTTATTAAACTATCAAACAAAGCTCTGGTTCCTACATGTTCCATAACTGCACAAGATTGGTCTAATTTATCATGATCCTCTTCGGGAGCATCAACAAATTTAGTCCAACTGGCGGAATTGCATTTATTTCCATTCTGCCGTACGTTGAAATAATTTGTCGTAAAGGAGCTGAGCTGTTTGTTTTCATTTTCTCTGGTCTTTTTTGCTCGTCTAAATTCAGCTCAAGACTTCTTCCATTTATGTGGTTGGTTCTCAGCCATGTCATCTGCAAAATAAGGATCAGTGTGTAATTGAAATTGCATAGTATTTATTATAATCATGTATGGAGTGCGATGTAGATATAGGCAACTTTATCATTAGCAATTTTTTGCCAGACACGGGAGTTCTTTATTTTCTTGATTGAAAAACCCTAGTGACACATTTTAGTTGGGATTAGAAATTTCAAAATTAGATAACAACAACGTTTATCTATAGCATAGTTTTGACACCGTCTTCGCTTTCGCTTTCGACATCAAAATGGGAACAAAAAACTGGCTGTTATACTCAACAGATAATCCGAAACATCAAAATGATCAAGTAACAGTCTTGTAATAGGGTTTCTATTGGACGTCTTGACATTCCAATTAATGATTTTAGCGTTGTATTGTATTTTAATATTGTGTCAAAGAGTAGGAAATAAACTGAAACGCTATTTTGTTTTTGTGTATTATATTTACCGATTAGCGAAGATATTATTTACACCATTTGTGTGTATTCTGTTATGTACAATTTATTTGCAAGCTTTTATAGTTTTCTTAAACTAGGTGCAGTTATTGTGAGGCTGATAAAGTACTGGAAATTTAAGTATACTTACGTAATTATAATTTAAAGTGCGTAAGTTTAAGTAGCAGGTTTGTACATAGGACAAACATCAAAGAAAATCGAAACAAGACTCACAGAACACAAAAACGCCATAAAACGACGAGATCCGAACTCACTACCAGCAGAACATACCCATGGAAACAACCACACATTCGACTGGACAAAAACTAATGTACTCGGACGCGCAAAGACTAAACGCGCACGTGAATTTAAAGAAACTTGGTACAGTAAAGACAACGACACAATTAACAGACATATCGACATAGCCATCATATACTCCCAACTAAAGAAAAAGGACAACAAAACTAAAAAACAACACCAAAAGTGCAACATCACTCTCTAATAATATGAACACCGATCATATTCACAATACACCAAAACCCATGGCAACGCAATTCACCCCATCCAATCACATTACTCCACCCGCTAATCCAATTAGACGCTCTATGCGTCTACAAGCTAAAAGCAAGTGTAAATAGATAAATTCTGTTTCCGACCAGTGTTGCCACGCCTTGGGATTTCTCCCAAGATCTTGGGATTTTCTGCTCAAGCTTGGGATCTTGGGAGTTTTTTTCGAAATATTGTAAAATCTTGGGATATTTTGTTTAAATATTTTATAGGTAATTTTATCTCGTATTATGAATTTATAAATAAGTGTGACACGTATTTATAAATAAGCTTGACAACCTTCACACCCTCCCACTGAAGATGCCGTCTGAATCTGATGTTTATTTGAACATAATATAAGTTCTTTTACCGTGGATATTCTTTAAATTAATGTACGTGTATTCCATAAAACGCTGAAGCATTTCTTTCGATCGAAAATATTATTAATTGGTATTGCATTTCTTGGTTGTCTTTACTATTGAACAGTAGAAATCAGTAGGGAGTGAATATTAAAAATAATTTTTAAAGTGGAAGTTTGACAACCAAAATCTGACATCACCGCCATGTTTTTGACAACCGGGTCCAGGCCCCTTGTTCCCTCCAGTTCTTGTTCAACTCAATGTATTGAACGCGAACATTGAACATACAAAAAACTTTTTCCTGTATGGTTTTGTAAAAACAAAATGGCGGCCTTTTTCTGAGGATTCAAGCCTGAGGTAAACTTGACTTGTTTTGCTTCATTTGGGTGGGGAGCTCAAAACACTACAGTGCATACACATTTCAGAAGCAAAATGTATGACGAAGAAAGCATCTCAAGTGATAAGAATGATCATCGTCCATCGAGAAAAAAAGCGAAACCTGAAGATAAAAAATGGTACAAGCAATCGTTCAACGATGCGTGGTTAAAAGATCCAGAATTAGCAGATTGGATTTCAAAAGATCCTGGAAATAAATTCACAGTGAGATGCAAAGTGTGTGAACATACATTCAACGGTCCCAACAAGTCGGCTTTGATGAAACATAAAGCAACAAAGAAACATACTGATGCATATAAAGCCAAGCAAAATACTTTGCAAGTGAGCAAGTTTTTTCAAAAGCAAACAGGGCCAGATGTTGACGAAATGAAAGCAAAAGCTGAAGTTTTGTTACCTGGTTTTCTAGCTGAGCACCGAACGCCTTTTCTTCAGGCTGATCATCTCAGCGAGTTAATGAAAAAAATGTTTCCCGACAGCAAAATTGCTCAAAAAATGCAGTTAAAAAGAACAAAGGCATCATATGTTGTTCAAGAAGGAATTGCACGAGAGGAGTGGAGTCAATATCAGCAATCTGTCAGAAAAACAAGTTTTCTCTGATCGTAGACGAATCCACAGATATTTCAGTCTCCCAAATTCTTGCTGTTGTCGTCAGATTTTACCATGAAAGGAAAGTGATTGATGCTTTATTGACTGCCCTTGAAGTAGAAAACGGCACTGCTGATGGATTGTATGCGGCTGTTAAAAACTTTTTTCAAGAACGAGCCATACCACTAAGTAATGTTGTTGGTTTTGCTGGCGACAATTGTTCAACAATGATGGGCAAAAATGGAGGTTTTCAGGCTCTTTTAAAAAAAGATGTACCTGGTGTATTTGTCTTTGGTTGCATTTGTCACTCCTTTGCTCTCTGCGCACACTATGCAAGTTGTCGCCTACCTTCATGGTTGGAAGCATTTGTGAAAGATGTCTGCTGTTATTTTTCCCGTAGCAGTCAGCGACAACACCAGTTCCGTCTCATACAAGATATTGTTGAAGCGCCTCGTCATAAAGTTCTCAAGCTTTCACAGACGAGGTGGCTCTCCCGAGACCAAGTTGTTGCCAGAATTTTAGAGCAATGGGATGCATTAAAACTTTTCTTTCAATCTGAGTCTCCATGTGATCGTGTAGACGGGGCAGTCAAGATCTATGCAACCATGACGACGAATGGAACCAAGCATATTATGGCATTCCTAAATTACATATTGTCAAAAGTGGACAGATTAAATGCTGAATTTCAGGCTCAAGATTTCAAGCTGCACACACTGTACAGTTCTATATCGGATGAGTATAGAAGCATTTTGGCCATGTTTATCCACGACAAAGTCGTACGAGAAACTGTGATTACTTTGTGACCACCAGAGACCTGACACGGCGTAATGTCTTTTTCAATATATCGTAATAACGTTTGAAAGTCGTCATAGCTCATTCGCATCATTTCTTTATATCCTGCGGTATCCTCCATTCTTAATTCCTTAACAATGTTGGTAAAATAGCCCTTTTCTTTTCTTTTCTTCATCCATGGTCTTGTTTTTCCTCTTGTCCAACTTCTTTTGTTTTCCTCTAGAAGTTCTACTACACATAAGGCAGCTGCACAACGACGAATTTTGTGATATTGATGAATTTGAAAATTAGTGGCCGCCATATTTATTCGAATTGCGTAATGTTTAATCATCAATGATATAAAATGTTGTTTTCGTTTGACCAGTAGGGCACAACATCTTCCAACATCTTCCAACAAAGTTGGATGGTGTTAGTTGAAAATGTTGCGCTCGTTTGACCAGGGCTTTATATGCCACAGACTCTCTTAAAGGCACGACTAATTCCCCAACACAGTTTTGGGATGAGATCAGAGCTATTAAAGATGGTAACGGCAATAAAAAGTTTGAACTTTTGGGAAATTTTATGTGCAACCTGCTTGTTTTGCCTCACTCATCTGCCTGTGTCGAGAGAATTTTTTCCCAAGTTAACATGATAAAGACTCCTCAAACCAACCGCCTACATTGTTCAACTTTGAGGAACAGATTAATTGCAAGACAAGCTATTGCTCGACAAAGTGCGCATTGCTACACGTGGGAGCCGTCTACGAAACTTGTAAAAGACGTACAATTTGGTCATTGTCGGAGGGAGTACTTTAAGAAACATTGTCAGCGTCAGGAACAGGAAGAAAATGTGACTGATGTGTATGACATTGTAAATGAAGAGACTGTTGAGATAGGGTCTGGTTAGCACTTAGCATGTTGTCGATTTGGCTGTTTCAACGATGTTACCATCACCATGTTTGACTTTTTTATGTACTGTTGCGTTTTACGAACTATATTTGATCATTTCAACACTTATATACATAAACTATCGATTTTTATGAAATTAAAATTAAAACAAAAATCAATTCATTCCAGTCCTTACATTATGCGTTCATTAGTGCGGCTAATCGTGTACCCATGACAAAGGGGTCCCCCAGAAACGACTGTGGGGGATCTTGGGACTTTTTGCTCAAAATCTTGGGAATTTGTAAAATAGTGAGTGGCAAGACTGTTTCCGACGAAGGTTCGAAGCAACGAGTCAAAAGCTCAATAAAATTATTTGTGAAATCCTGAGAGACCTTTATTTTTGAGCAATATTAACTGGATTATCAATCTTTAAACATAATTATTCACATGTATATGCTCTTCTCAACTTCTTATATTAAAACAACATAGTATGCACAGTCTCGGCGTTGGCAGATCGTAAGCCATCTTGTCTGCGATTGTTATTTTGCTACTTTTGACATTGTACGACAAATAATGGATGACATACTTCTTTCACATGAAAACTGGCTGGATTCATGATGGATTTTAACGATCATTGCTAAATATATTTAAACAATTCGAGCAGATTTACACATATTTGACGCTTCAGTGAATTTAGAGTAAGATAGCTTTTACTAGATTTTGCCGGATTTTTCAACACACCTAATTCATATGGCATTTTCGCGACTTCTTGTATATATATGTACATATATACATACTTTGTTGGAGTGTTCGAGTACGACATTCACAATCGATGCAAAATTTATCAATTCATACAATATTTGACATAACGCGCTAGCTATGTTTGTGACCCCTGTCGTTCGTGGGGGGATATTATGTGGAAGAATGAAAAAATATTTTATTTTGGAGTTAAAGTCTTATAGCATCATTCCATATGATGCAATGTCTAGTAAAGTTAAAAGTCTAAATATGAAATTTTGAATTATCTGGCTTGCAGTGATGTACTGTGCAACCACAGGCATAGGTATGTTTGTTATTTTCAGATAACATCTCTAATTGCCACTTAACGTAATTAAATCACAAATACAAAACAATTTCTAAGTATTCTTACGTCTTAATAAAATTAAAACAATGATTAAAAAAGTCACGTCTTGTTATTTTTCTAGCGCAAAGCGAAAATTTTGCCGGTGAAAATTGCTAGTCGAATAGTTTATATCATTGTCATCAACAGTCAACTGTCTTACTACAGTTTTAAACAAACTTATAGAGGAAAGTAATTTAAAGTGAAAAAGGATTCTTTAACAGTTGGCGACGTTTGAAAACCAGCAGGATGTTGAATTTTTTTAAATAAAACACATTTATATGTTAAAGAAGTTTTGTTGTATTATTCTTTCATCTGAATGTCAATCATGATGGAATCGACTCCTTCAAGTTCCTTGGAAGGCCATGAATTGAATGAAATGAGCGAACAAGCCCAGCCAGTTCGTGTAACGTTTGATGATGTGTCAACAGCTCAGTCAAGAATCTGAGATAGCGTTCCTCAAACTCTTTGTCAGGTAGCATGATACAGTAAAAGGTTTAAACCCGAGGGTATCGTTAAATGTTTATAGATGTAGATCGTCCAGGTTGGTACAGTCCTGAGAAGGACTGTTTTTTTTTGTTGTTGACTGACGTTTCGACAACCTTTTTCATCATACTAAAGTAAGTTGACAGTGAAGTTTTGTTTAAATTTTTATTTTACAAAAATTCGCAACATTATATTGCCTGTTACCTGGACATTTGAAGAGAATGGCAACTTTGGATGATTACTTTTCATTTGGATTAGTGTTCTATTTCATGTTGGTTTTATGGTGACTTCTTTACAGTTCATACATATAAATTCTAGATTCGCTATTGAAAATAAGTTCATCTGACTATAGATATGAGAGACAACTTTTTACAGGGTTTAGTAGTTTGCTAAGTAAACAAAATGCAACTAAACATTTCCATCTTTTGATGTCGCAGAGCCTTATCCTTCAATCACATAGTTTTGTATTTGACCATCACAATCGATGCAAAACGTAAATATTCATAAAATATTTGACATAAAGCGTTATCTTTGTGACTGCATGACGTATGTGTGGGAAAATTATTTGAAAAATGAGAAAAATGTTTTATTTTCGTTTCAAGTCTAAGTAGCACCATTCTACACACCAATTTTGTCTCGTGAAGTTAAAAGTCTAAGAAATGAAAACTTTGGCATTGCAGACAAACAGTGCAGCTACAGATCTAGAGATGTTTTTTATGTTCAGATTACATTTCTAGTTGCCATGTAATATAATTAATTTACAATTACAAAGCAATCTTTCACTATTCCTAAATAGCTTACGCAACGTTAAATCTTGTGTGTGAAAACTACCGGTCGAATAATTATCATTCAACAGTCTTACCGCAGTTTGCGATAAACTCTGAGAGGAAAGCCACCGAAAGTGAACAATGATTTTTCAAAAGTTAGAGACAATTTTAAAAATTCGTGATACGTTTGCTGATGTGTGAACAACAGCTCAAATTAAAATCAGAGTTCGCGGCCCAAACTATTAAGGCCGATTTCCATTCAGTGCAAATTGTCGCGCGATCGTATTTTTGAGATCACTTTCTTTTCAATTGCAAGCTCTCAACCGGAACAGTTTTACATAGCTGAACACTTTGCACTGAATGGAAATCGGCCTTTAGGTTTTGTAATGTAACCACCTACCTTCTTCATTATATATCGACTTACACTAACAATTAGAGACATCACAGAAACAAAACATTTAATGTTCAACGTCAATGTGTACGTTCTACGATCTCTTAAACTACTTTAATTTATACAAGATGTTTTTTAAGGATATATTTGTTTTTTTTGAATATAAGGTTACTTTAGAAATAACAGAAAACGCTATTAGAAATTCACAGTAAAAAGAAAAGGGCTGTTTCAGCCCACAAAATTGGGCCAAATTATTGACCCCAGAACGGCACATAAAATTAGTGTCGAATTTAGCCCTTTAAGGTGGAGGCATATGTGCCAAGTTTCCCCAAAGCGTAGCTAAAACAGCCCCAGGTAACAGGGCACTTGTGATATCTAACATTTTTTCGATTATTTTATTTTTCGATTAAAAATAGAATAAGTGATTTCATTTAGTTCAAATTGAACCATTATATTCAACATTACTGTGTGATTTATGTGGTTGTATACTGTACACTTTAAACGAAACCCATTTTAACGAAAAACTGTTCTTTGCCTCTTGCTCCTTTTTTAGACTAAAGTACTACCTACGAGTTGGTTTTCATTATTTTTGCGATGAGTGTAGTTTCCCCAATCCCTTCTCGTCCGACACACAACGACAGAATGAGGATAGAAAGACTCAAATGTGCATTGACATTATTATAGTATTTCTTATATTAAAGAATATGACAACATTCAGGTTTCATATAGCAATTTGATCTGATCTTCGTAAGAAGTTTCCGAATGCGCTTACTTTTGCTAGATGTCCGAGTGTGAATTCCGGTATCATGGTATTCATGTCCTTTCCTTGAAAAAATTTTGTGTTCATTCTTGGAACAATGGAGGAAGAAATTAATTTTTTAAGGAAGTATATAATTGTATAAATTTGTCCTTATTCATGGTCATTGCTGTAATTGATTCATTCCTTTGCAGTGCACATGACTTAATGTTAAGTTGAAACATGTCTTTCTGTAATAAAACATTTTTGTCATTTATCATGAATGTTTGGCTAATCTTAATCTGTAAAGATGATATTGAAATTAATGTTTTTACTTTTTCAATCTAATGTTGACATGATTGCTGTAGTTAAGTAGGCCGGGGGCTGATTGATTCTCATTTGACAGGAGGGGTGCAGATTTTTCAAGGGGGGTGCATCATTGTTCTGGTTAAAAGTGCCAGGGCTTTAGGCATGGGCTTACAGATGAGTGAACCTTGTGAAATGAAAGTGGCACTGGCTTTTAAGTATTTTTTATAAAGTTAAATAAATTATAAATCCTGGTTATATAGCTGTACAGTACTTCCTTAAATAATGAACAGAGCTTCATAAATTATGTAATAAAATATTACCAACGACAAGTGAAACACAAATACAACAGTTGCTTTCACACATGGTAAAAAAGGGACAAGAAAATAAAAGGGCAAACTAATTTGACATGACAAAGTAACTCAATGATAGTAATTCAATTGCAAATGGTGGTGGTATAAAATATGTAATTGCCTTTAAAATGATAAGCTCTGCTTTTTCCTTAGTGTCTTATTGTAAAATTTCCTAGTCTATAATTCTATTATAAAAATGGTCTACACTATGTATAATACATTTCAGCAATTTTTGGCAATGCTAGAAAATTTATTGTTCACCCCATCTTGCAACCCCCGGAAAATCCATATCTGAAGGAGGCAATTCCACGTTTTAAGATATTGTATGAAGCTCTCTGAGATCTCGACAATTCCATGACAACCCCCAAGAAATTCTTTTCCGGTCAAAACAGGCACACTCAGAAATCAGCATGCAAAATATTATATTACAACATACTAGCCTGGATGATCTACATCAAGAAACATGTAGTTTTTATGGAATTGGTCATAGATGTATTTGTATTTTGATGTATTTATGTTGGTCATGTATTTGTATTCCTGGCAATTGAGCCTCATTCATGTGTTTGTCTTTTTATTACATTTTAAAGATAAACGTCTCAAGGCAGTAATCCTAACCAAAAGGAATCCAACATGTCATATGTGTACGTCGGCGACGAGTTTCGGCCAATAAGAGTCACTGATGATGCAGGAATAAGAACGCCCGTTGTTGAAGGGACGAGGCCGGCAGATAGTGAAGATTACTACTTCACTGTTGAGCAAAACATGAACGATGTTATATACAATGATGTTGCTGATGTTGATGTTTCTAATCTTAAAGTACCGCTGTCGCCGAGGCCGCCACTGCCTATACTAAAGACCTATGCTACCAGATCGACAGAAAGCTTAAATGCAAATGGCGTGAAGATGAAGAAATCACCACCGTTGCATAGACGCTTTGGGATAACTTCCGGTATGTAGTTACATTTCATGGAAACACTCGTAAATCCATACTTAAGCTAATTTGTGACAAATTCTCGACACTTTTCTACGCCAGTAGAATCGTAATATGGTTTTCATCGTAATTCTGTTAACAGTTAATTTAAACCCAAATTTGGTTTATATTAATTGGAATGTTTCTACTGTCGTGCTTTAAGTCACAACGAGTTATTTTTACCTTTGGTCTTACGTGAAGATGCTTTAATCAAGTGGTCTTCAAGCGACTGAGTCTTTGGAAAGATGTGACGTCATACTGTGCGTGTGTGCTCTTATAGATCTCAGCCCTAGACCAATCAAATTGCTTCACGCCTTTCTGTTATTATGTAAAGACGTCGAGATGCATATATTTTACCGCCTTTGAAGTCTTTTTGCATTTTCGATTCGTTTCGTGTTAAGTTTGTCCATATCATGCCTACGTCTTCTTCTCTACAATTAAGAAATACAGTGATGTTGCTGATGTTGATGTTTCTAATCTTAAAGTACCACTGCCGCCGACGCCATATCATGCCAACGACTTCTTCTCTACAATTAAGAAATACAGTGATGTTGCTGATGTTGATGTTTCTAATCTGAAAGTACCGCCGCCGCTGCCGCCGCTGCCACCGACGCCGCCACCGACGCCGCCACCGCCTATACTAAAGCCTTATGCTACCAGAAAGACAGAAAGCTTAAATGCAAATGGCGTGAAAATGAAGAAACCACCACCGTTGCCTAGACCACTTGGGAAACCTATCGGTATGTAGTTACATTTCATGGAAACACTCGTAAATCCATACTTAAGCTAATTCATGACAAATTCTCGACCCTTTTCTACGCCAGTAGAATCGTAATATGGTTTTCATCGTAATTCTGTTAACAGTTAATTTAAACCCGATTTAGTTTATATTAATTGGAATGTTTCTACTGTCGTGCTTTAAGTCATAACGAGTTATTTTTACCTTTGGTCTTACGTGAAGATGCTTTAATCAAGTGGTCTTCAAGCGACTGAGTCTTTGGAAAGATGTGACGTCATACTGTGCGTGTGTACTCTTATAGATCTCAGCCCTAGATCAATCAAATTGCTTCACGCCTTTCTGTTATTATGTAAAGACGTCGAGATGCATATATTTTACCGCCTTTGAAGTCTTTTTGCATTTTCGATTAGTTTCGTGTTAAGTTTGTCCATATCATGCCTACGTCTTCTTCTCTACAATTAAGAAATACGGTGATGTTGCTGATGTTGATGTTTCTAATCTTAAAGTACCGCTGCCGCCGACGCCGCCTATACTAAAGCCTTATGCTACCAGATCGACCGAAAGCTTAAAAGCAAATGGCGTCAAAATAAAGAAATCACCAATGTTGCCTAGACCCCTTGGGACACCTATCGGTATGTATTTACATTTCATGGAAACACTCGTAAATCCATACTTAAGCTAATTCATGACAAATTCTCGACCCTTTTCTACGCCAGTAGAATCGTAATATGGTTTTCATCGTAATTCTGTTAACAGTTAATTTAAACCCGAATTCGGTTTATATTAATTGGAATGTTTCTACTGTCGTGCTTTAAGTCATAACGAGTTATTTTTACCTTTGGTCTTACGTGAAGATGCTTTAATCAAGTGGTCTTTAACGACTGAGTCTTTGGAGAGATGTGACGTCATACTGTGCGTGTGTACTCTTATAGATCTCAGCCCTAGACCAAGTGAAAGAGAATCCAATGCACCCGAAAAAGACGAAACTGATGGAGAAGAAACCGATCTTCCTGACGGTTGGAAGGCAATTCCAGACTTAATGGCAACTTATTATTGGCATAAGGTGACTGGCAGGCTTCAATATGAAAAACCTCAGGTACAATCCAGTTTGTTTACTCGAATGATCATTTTGTTGAATCTACGCGCTACACTCATGTGCATCCTTCACGTGTTTTTTTCTTAATCCATAATGGTTTTGCTTTGTTTCAATGCGGTTGGGCTCATTCAGTTGATGTTTTCAACTGAAATCGCCCTCTTTTGCTGTTTATTAAGCTCAATTAAATGGCCCAACAATGGCAGATTGGTAGTGTTGATTGAACGTTATTGCCTGTTTAAGCGTAGATTAAATTATTTGATTGTGGATGCAACAGTATGGCTTGATTGTGTAGTTGGAGTATATTACTACGTAACATGGTGAATAGCTTGTGTAGCTTCCCCTCAATTTTGAGAACATAATACTTCATCAAAGTATAAGATAAAACTTAACACGGAAAAAATTCATCTTATAAACTCAAATTCGAGTAAGTGTAAATAAAATACAATTAAGAGAGGCTTGATTTAACGGGATTCAAAACTCGTCGAAAATGAAAGACAGTTTCTAACAGTGAAAGGCAAAGGTATATAAATGTAACATCACAGCAAGTTTATGTTCTTAATTACTTGTACGTGTGATGATAATATTAATTTAATTTATCAATAATAAAAATTTATTTTAATACATTTTTAGTTAGATCGTATAAATCGAAGATCAAAGTCATCTGTATCAGGTAAGAAATCAAAAAATATCAATACACGTCAATTATATAACTGCCATCGTCACTTATTTGTATCAATGTCAGCTTCATTACAATTACTAAATGATTTACAGTTTTTATTCAAATAAATTTATAGTAATATTGCTGAGCAACATTATCTGTGTTTGTGCTGCATGCTGTAATGTCAAAGATTCACGATGCAAAATGGTATTTATATATGCAACATTTAAACTATATCTATTTACATGCTACATCCTCTCGCTTTCCTAACTATATACTTCATAATTTTGGCTTAGACGTAGTGTTGTAGCTCTTTTAAAACGTGATTTCATCAAAGTCTCTTGTTCTTTGTTTGTTTGTTTTTCATTTTCGTATATTTTTATATGCGCTGAATTTCTTCTTTATGATGCTTCCTTTTCTGATTAAACTGTAACTTCGTTGTTAAAACAGAGATATGTTGATCCGAATGAAGTTGCAAATGCACACATACACGAAATATTAGCCCTGCTAACTAATACTGGTGTTTCAAAACATAAGAGATGTAGAAGAATCTTACATATACTCTTACGTACTCGAATGAGACCGATTGTTTTATCAGGTGATATCAAGCAAGCATTCATACAAATAGCTATCAGAGAGATTGATCGAGACGTAATGAGAATCTTATGGATAAATTATCTGCAACAAAAAGAGATGGTCGTATATCGTATGACTCGAGCGATGTTCAGAGGTGGTCGAGCCCATTTTTACTTGGAGGAACTTTAAATGTTCAAATAGAGAAATTTGTACAATAATATTTGAAGTGTGTCGAAGAATTATCCGACGGGACTTATGTAGATTATATAAATATTGGTAGTGATTCAGTAGAAGAGACTATAGAGACCTCAAACAGCATTCAAAAGAGATTCTTAGCAACGGACAATTTGTTCTACACAATTGGCATTCCAGTGCAGTTTAACTTGAACGCGATATAGCAGAGGAAGGGGAGTCTACCTATGCTAAAGATACTTTAGGAACTAAATGTTCAGAAACTGAACTTCTCGGACTGGTATGAAACAAGCATGAAGATACTTTGTCTATCATCATCATCATCATCATCAGCCTGTCACGCCACTGCTGGTGGATGGCCTCCACATCTTTCTCCACTCTTCACGGTCTTGGGCTCTCTGGGTCCACATGCTGCCCGCTCTCTGCTCGATGTCATCTCTCCATCTCCTTTTTGGTCTTCCCTTGCCTCTTTTTTTGTCCCACGGGGTCCATTCAGTTGTTTTCTTTGCCCATTCATGGTTTTTCATTCGGGCTAGATGTCCTGCCCACTTTCCTTTGGCTTCATTAACTTTCTTGATGACATCTTTCACTATATCACTACCAAACAAAAAGTTCAAATGACCAAGCGAACGGTTCTTCAAAGGATGGCAAATCTGTATTACCTGTTAGGTGTTGCAGCTCTGTACCTTCTCATAGCGAAAGTAATCCTTCGAGATATCTGTGTTCGGAAAATTGCATGTGATGCACAGTTGCCGGAAGGTATCAGGAAGCGTTAGGAAAAATGGTTGAGGAGTGCCAAGTGAGTTTAATTTTCCAAGAAGCATTCTTCGGAAAAGAGTAGAGACTACAGCAATTTACATTCATTGGTTTTCCGATGCGAGTATCTTGAGATGTTGTGCAGCGGTGTATGTGGTGACAAAACAATGCGAAGTGGTTTCGCACAGGCTGTTGGTATCAAAGGCAAGATTAGCAAAACGCTAATTAACTATTCCAAGATTGGAACTTGTAAGTTGTCATATGGTTTCCAACCTGATGAACAAAACACAGAAAGTCCTCAGCTATCTCCCTGTCGAAGCTGTTTACGCGTAAACTGATTCAACCGTCTGTCTACAATGGATCAACGGTGGAGGTAACTACAAGCAGTTTATTTCAAATCGTGTGAAAAAATAATGAGAAACAAATTGAGTGGAAGTAAGTGTCAACCTACGAAAATCAAAAGTAATGAAGATAACCATTCCAAAAAAGATCGATTTCATTGATCATATGCTGGAAAAGTATGTCCCGTCCAAATCTGTACGAGCTGTAGCATAGTGTAAGAGATTCATTGACAACTTAGTAAGTACTAAGAAAACAAGTGGTGCATTATTGACAGAAGATAATGAAGTTACTGATCAAACAAGCTCAAGCTGAAAACGAGTTGATGGAGAATTTCAAAGACAATTCTGTCAAATCTAATCTTAAAAAAAATAAAGACCTAATATACATGTGTAAGGGAAGAATCCAAGGGAAATATCCGGGGTATCTTCCAGCAAAGCATTTATTATCTAAGAGCGTTGTTAGACGAGCTCATATAATAACCTTACACGGGGTAGTGGGACTTATCATGATGAAATATGAGATGAAATATGAAATAAATCTTATGATATATTAATTACGTATACGTTTACGTGTTATAATTGTATTTTCATTATCTCAATTCTCTAAGTGTAATACTTTTATGTCATTGTAAGAATTGCAGTCGGAACTGTTGACAAACTGTGAACAGAAAGTCCTAGAAGACAACGGTTATGACAATCCTGAAAACAGCGGTAGATAAAATTTTCACTTTGTCGCTTTTAAAAACAAAATTAAAACATCCATTATTAGAAAAATAACGTTTGAACCTAAGCAAAATGATGATAATCTAGGAGTTAAGACAAAACATGAGAGATGCGGCTCACATTATGAAGTGCCATATTTAGGTTTAGATGGATATTTTCATCAAGCTTTTTATATACCTTTCCTAGCTTAAACTTTTTAAAAATGTCAACTTTAATCTTGTTTTTTATGTCCATAAACTAGTATCAAAAACTAAAGACTTTTAAAGGAAAATATACTCTTTCTTTATTTTCAAATTTTGGTCGAACAAGAAATAAACGATTGGTCAAGTTGGAGAATTTTTGTCACCAATAAATAGAGAAAATTTCACATTATTTTCTTTTAATGTTCAATCCAAACCAACTCTATTTGGTTAGTTTGACATTGGGATATTATATTTAATTTCGAGAATGATGTTTTATATCAGTTGTCACATTTAGATTTTGCAATTATCTTTTGATCGAAAAAACGATGAAATCTGTCTTAAAAGTTAGAACAGAGTGAAGAAATTCTGTCGTCAAAATATGACTGTTTTGATGTATCTTACGTTGGAAGTTATAAATTTTAAACACAAGAAATGTGCTTCGGAAATTTTGACTCATTTTTGGTATCAGCTTTTAAATCTTACAAGATTTGAGTGCATTATGTAGTTATGAACCTCTATATTTCAAGTTTAAACTTTAGCAGCTTTACAATAAATTTTACGTAAGATACAAAAAACGACTATACGTTGACAACCAATATTTTTTACTCTGTTCCCATCTTTTAGATACTCTTTATCATTTTTGCGATCATATGTCCACTAACAGGCTTCAAAACGTAACGAAGTTTGAAGAAAAATTTAATCTTTCTTTAATTTTAAATTTTTGTTAACCAAGAAACAAAGCCGTCAGATTTTCTATCTTAAATAATTTGATTGCATTATTAAGTAATTTAGAAACATGTTTATTGTTTACAAAATATACAGTTGTTATCGAAATCCTGTATGCATTAGGCGAGTTCAAGCTTTTTCTGTGTATTTTATTTTATTCGTTGCACTCATTGAGGAGTAAGGATTCAACCTAAGGAAAAACTAAGAAGAAAGGGGTAGATGAGACAAAACACAATAGATTTTCTTCCCATTAATCGCTAACCGTAAAATATTTCAAAAGTTCTTTGACGTTTGAACAAAATTATTCACTGCTGCTTTATTTACTATATGCCAACTTTAGATTCGAAAGATCTTACAATGGGAGTAGGTATTGAAAGCGTTGATGAAAAGAAAAGTGAAGACTTTAGTGGTTGTGGAAATGCTAAATTTAACGGTAATAATAGTATTTCTTTGTCAGATTAGGTTTCAACCTTAGCAAAATGCTGCAGTTATTTGGGGTAAGACGAAAATAGCTGACACTCATGTAAAGGGTTGTATGTGCAAGTTTACATGCATATATCATGAACTGAGTGTACACATATAGATTGATCACATCCTAAACTTTAAATTGACCTGAGCTAGCTAATTTCTACCTTTTTATATCTTTACAAAATAAGAATATAAAAAATAATATTGTAGACTTGTCGAATTGAGAAAATTGAAAAACTATTAACTTTTTAGCAAATGATTCTGGCCAGTTAGGGTAAAGTGAAATTCCCTTTTCTGACACGAAGTTTCAGATTCAGATGAATCATTTTCAAAAACCTTCTGAATTGTTATTGTTATATTTTATATTGGATTTTTTTCTAAACGCCACCCACAATGTCTAAAACATACATTTCTAACATATTTCCGTTGGATAAAATATTCTCTATTGCATATTCTTCTGTTGAAGTGGCAGCCATAAGCTCGAGCCCATCAGAGTTACTAAATGTTGAATCTCTGCAGTCCTCACCAGGTAACATTTGTTTTTCTTCTCTGTCATCATAATTATTTCACGTCCTACTAATTTACTTCAACGTCTTATGATAAATTAGTGATTATTGTAATTAAGTTTTAGGTATAATCTTAACATATTTTGATTTCATCATTAAGTAATTTATGATTATTTGATGGTTGATGAAAACTTAATTTTGCAAAATGAACATTCTGTATTCTAGTCCTTCGGGAATTAAAGGAATTTGTGCTACTTTTTTGTGTTTATTGTTTTTGTGTCACTCACCTCATGAAATTAATACTTTTGCAATTTTCAGAAAAACAGTCTTCGAAGTGGAAATGCACTGACGAATCAACAAAGCACAAAAAACTGTTGCTAAAGTTGATAGAATATGACCGTAATCCCAATGTCAAGGTTGAAAATGTGGGCGATGTACGTGTAATTTTCTCAGACGAGTTTTGCATCGGCAAAGGAAATAATGAAACCCGTGTTTATCTTGGACTGAGAAAGGATGGTTTCGGCAAAGCAGTGAAACGAATACGTCGAGATAACTGCCTCAATGATGCACTGCAAGAAAAGAAAGTTTTAAATGAATTCAATGCAAAAAAGTCAAAATATGTGGTAAATTATTCCAACATAGAAGATGAAATTGGATCAGAATATGTGTATTTAATATTAGACTTATGTGAAGAATCGCTTGAGAATTTTGTGAATTCTTCTTCTCAACCTGATCTTCAAAAAGCTCTTCCTGAAATTCTAAAGCAAATTTTAAAAGGATTGGCGGATCTTCATAGCAGTGTACAACCTATTCTTCATCGTGATTTAAAGCCATCCAATGTTCTCCGAGACTCACAAAGCGAATTTCTCATAGCCGACTTTGGTATCAGTCGAATATTAAAGAATGATTCTAAGACATATAAAAGCATGGGTAACATGGGAACTGAGGATTGGATTGCTCCTGAATCATATTGTGAAGATAAAGATTCAGTCGATAAAGGACGATACAAAAAAGAGTCTGATGTATATGTAAGTGCAGGAATGTCAATATTTACAAATCACGCATAAATTCTATTGTGTTAAATTATGGTTTTTGCTATTAGCCGCGTTTTCCATTATTGTAGAATGCAGGAATGGTGGCTTATTATGTTGCAACAAAAGGTGAACATCCTTTTGGAAATAAACGGCATAGATTGAACAACATGTTGAATGGAAACCTTGTTGGCTTGGAAAAAATCAAGGATGAGACACTGAAAGATCTTCTTTCGTGGATGTTAAATCTAAAACCTGAAGATCGGCCATCTGCCATTCAAGCGTTAAAACACCCATTTCTTATGTCGGATGACGACAAGTTTGACTTTTTATGTAAAGTTGGAAACCAACAGCCAATAAAGACAAGAGATACCAAGTCAAGTGTAGTCAAACAATTAAATAGCAAGTATTCAAATTGGAAAAGTTTCATAGACACTGACGTATATGATTATTTAAGAACAGACGAGGTAAAGAGAAAAATGTTTAAGTATGGTCCTTCATTGACAGAATTCTTGAGACTTATTCGAAACATAGGCCAACATTGGTGCGATCTACCACGGCCAAGACCACAACCATTTTATAAGATTGGCGATCACAAGGCATTTTTTCTCAAAAAATTCCCCAATCTCCCTGTTTGGGTGCATGCTGCTGTGAGGTCAAATGAAGAATTTAGAAACAATACAGAACTCAAGAACTTTTTCAATGAAAGCAAACCACATCAATAAATAGTTTCAAACGGCAACATGGATCAACTAGTTCACGCAAATCTGCTTCCTATATTTTAATGAACATACAGATCATATTAAATTAGCACATTATTTCACGTTATATACCAGTACCTGTGGCATAGCACAGGGATGACTTTTTTATGTGTTTGGGTGGGGGTGGGTGGGTGCTGACCCTTTTTAGCCTTTTGCTAAAAGGAGACAAGAGAAGTACCAATTTCTTACAAACTGTTTATTTACTAACCTGATTTGTATGTAATAGAGCATACTTCCACATATCTCAATAACTGGTATGAAAGTGACAGAGTCAATACTACAAAAAGTACCCACAGAAATATGATCGAAACTAAATCACGAACCCCTTCCCCCCCCCCTTTAAAATTTGTCCAAAATTGTAAATTTCAGGTTTTATATTGCAGGACTATGTTATTTGGGCTTTATCTTGTTCAGTCATTTAAATCTCAAACTACTCAAAAAAATCCAATTTTTTACCTCGCTTTTTACTGAATGAAATACATGACCTCCACAACTGAGTGTTTTTAAGATAAATTGATCTTCTGTCTGTACTTTCTTTCCATTGTACAAATCTCTTTTTAATGATGATGCAGCATCTTGGATTTTTCTCTTTGGTTTAACCTCACCTGACTTGAAATCAACCTAAGCTAGAAAGCGTATGATTTGAAAGGAATTGTTTAAGAAAAAAAATGCCTATGCAATGAATAACGTATCCTGTACTCTGGGAATTTCAAGATCCGAGACATGTACACTTTACTTGGGCAGCCAAGTTTTTTTTTAGTTTGAACATGTTTACGCCTTTTACGGGATGTGTGGTCATGGTGATGAATGATAATAAGTTTATTATGTAATAAATGATTGAATGCATACTATAGCGTCAGTTATATGTTTGTAAATGATGATCGTCCAGGTTAATAACAAACATATAACGATACTCCCGGGTTCAAACCATTTACTTTATAGCGTCAGTTCGTAAAAATAAACACTGGTATAAATGATGATTTACAACCTCTTTTTCATCTCTTTCTTTTGCCCTTTTAGTTTTTATATTTACATCAAAATCATTTGCCTGATGACATTGAATGTTTATTGTTCCAACACAAATGAATGAAATGCCATCAAAAAGTAATGAAATTCTATCTTTATTGGTTTGGGTCCACTGCAGCCTGGTACATGGATTTCTACACTGTAAAATTTCATCAACTGTCTTGCCTTAATAATATCAATCAAAAGCTTTATATAAAATGTAAATTTATACTTTATATTGTGAGTTTGTTTAAGGTTAAGCCCGCCGCACACTGGTAAACTTGCCGCGCGTACTTGTTATTCGTGACAATTGCGATCGACAAAATTTCCTAGTGTGCGCGGAAGTTTTGAACAACATTTGTCATTCGTGACAGATGAGTCTAGTCACAAGAGAATTCTCTTTCTCATAGGGGATTAAGTAGAGATGACATTAATACTTTATATGGTGATGTAAGTTAAAATATTAATGATATAATTTAGATGGCGATGATATAATTGAATGGTGATATAATTTAGAAGATTGCATAAAGTTCAATGAGAAAACAGTAAGCTTGTTATAAAGCTAAGAGAATAAAGATTATCTAAGAAAACACTCTCTTTATTTAAAAGGTCCAGGTGAGGTAAGTTCAGACTTAATGCATAGTAGCAGCAGCTTATAAATGGAAAATATCACTGCGACAACATCAATTGTTAAACATTTTTATGCTTACAAATAAGATAAAATTGTATGATATTTCTAATTGGAAATTTAGTGATGGGATCTGACCAACCTTGGATCATTATTGCACAGGATATATAGCTGCAATCCCTCCCCACTACCCCACACTACCCCTGTTCCATGGAATCTTCATTACGAAAAGTAATAGCGCATAAAGTATTTTTTTATTTTGGTTGTAAGTTCACTGAGGCGAGCAAATTTTGCCCGGAAACACAATAATTACCAAAAAACAGCGTTTTTTTGCCCTGACAGCTTTATTTTCAAAGATTCAAACAATATTATAAGGATAGAAAAGTGTATTTTACATCCTTTTATTGAAAAAAACGAAGGGTGTCAGTTTTGTATTCAAGTTATAAGGCATGTTTTCACGTGCCAAAACAAAGTCCGCTTTTCATCCTTCTAAAAAGAAGCTTAAACATGTACAAATGTCGTTCAAACTTGTTTTTTATCAAAGTCCAAACTTTGTTTAAGGTTTTTAGACATTAAGCTGTCTCGAAGACCACTGTATTTGGGAAAAAATACGGCAATTTCGAAGTGATGTATTTCGCCTCCGTACCCTCAATGGCGTCGATCATGCAGGTTTCAAAGATGGCGGCCAAGTTAGCCTTCCAGTTGTTATAGAGTTCACTGGAGTGAATATTTTCTGTGCAAACTCAATATAGGCAGCTTCAAAAGTCAGAAAGAAACTATTTAGTGAGATTTATCATGGGGAACATTGTTTCCCAAGACCGGAACAACTCGTCTTTTTTAAAGTGCTACTGAAGTGAAATTTTGGGTATCGATTTTTTTCTATAATCAAATAGTTCTATCTTTCCTGATCACTTTGGTATAATTTTTATGCATATTGAAGCACGGGATCATCAATAAATTTTTGCTCAAAGTTGGGTTACGCGTGCGAATTTTTACCACTGAAATATTATACGGATGTGACGTAATAAAAAGGACGGAAGTCGAAGTAGGAGCATTGATTTACTAGTATTTTGTTAGATTTTTAACACATATACACAATAAAATATGAGTTCTTCAAGCAGTGAAAGCGAACGCAGTTCGGATACTGAAAACTCAGATATGGCAAATGAAAATTTACTTTCAAATTCCGGCGATGAGGATACAATTGTGGCTAATTCAGTGGTAAATCCTTACGAAAATGAACCTCTTGCGAACGCAGTCGGAGAGAATTTTGTGTCGGTCGAAGAAGACGCAGATGGCTTAGAACCTCGAACATTGGAAACGAGGTTCGAAGGAACCTTTCAGTTAGATAAGTGGTAAGTTGATAAATGTTACTAGAACTCTAGAAGAAATTAAACCATGAATTAAACATGTTATTTTGTCCTTATGTCGTGGTGCATAAATATGATAACAAACCACTTTTTTATAGGTGTGCATGTAGCTTGGGTCGTACTCAACTGCTGACAGATGCCATTGAATACCGTTGTTGTCAATAGGTTGGGCCTACTTTACATAAACTGGTATTCGATGTTAGCATTGAAAAAATTAGCTGTGTTACTCTTCACGAAGAGTACACGATTATGACACATGCTACAGTCTTGAAGAATGTTGGAAGAATGTTGGCTCACTTCTAAGAGACCAAGATGGAAGGTCATACAAGCGTATGACCAAGAATACATGAAAATGAGTTAGTACATTTTTGATTTCTAATTTTGTTTTGTAACGAATGATTAATATCTTGCCATGTATCTCTACTTTTACCTTTATGTGGTTCATTATTGTGCTGTGATGCTTCACAATTTTGTTGTGTGAAGTCAAAATAATTAATCAAATAAGAACATTTTTTGTAGCATAGTATATTATTTTATAACTAACTTTAAAGTTGGCCTGCTAAGAATATTTGTCAAGTAATTCTTGTGGACAATGACCTTTTGGATGTCCTTTCATTGGCTGTCCACAATTTTTGCATAAGTGCATTTTTTTTGGATCTGAAGGACCTGTTGAAGCAGCTTGTTTTTCTTTGTCTAAACCTTTTGCTTGCAGTACATCTTGCTGTTGATCTATAAATAACAATTTAATTTGTTTACTTTTAGAATGCACTGGCCATACCTATTATACATGGTAGCATGAACAACTTACATGTGGGAAACAATGGTGTTGAAGATAGTTGTTTCCTATCCAAATGCCGTTGGATTGCCTCAGTTTTGGAAATTCGATCCGAGAAAGTTTTGTTTAAGGCTTCTGGGACTTTTTCCTTATACTTCTTAAATATGTTGTCCATGGATTCCTCACAACTAAGAACCATGACATTTTTGATTTCATTAACATAGTCTGGAAAATGACAAGTGGTTAGATGTGTAAGTCAAGAGTACCAATGCATACATGCTAAACTTACAATATGATGGTGCTGAAGAAACAGTTCTTACTACTTCATCCCCTGATTTAAATTTTGGGTATGTCACAGAATAATATGGTGTTCCATTTTTTGTTTTTTTTGGCTGTCTGTGAAGGTTTTCATTGAAATGAAGTACTGCCAGTACGTGCCTAAACAGAACAAACCATTTACTATGTAATTTTTTTTCTTGACTAGGAACAAGTAAAAAAGGCTTGGCAGATAGAGAACAGTGATTACAAGTTACCTGCAATATGTACCAAGCCAAGAAAAGTGGGTCATCTTTGGATGCCAACCATTTAATGTTGAATGAAAACCTTCGAGACAACTAGTTTGTGCTTCTGAAGATAGTTTTTTAACATCTTTGAGAACAGATTTTTTCAACAGAATGGAGGAAAGTCGCTGATATGATTTAGTTCCTTAAAAAGAATACAATCCCATCTGAAAAGTGGTAAATAACATTTTAGACATTTTAACAATCTCAATTCTGTCTTGCTGCCTAAATGTGTGCATGCTCATACCAACTTGAAGCCATAGACGTTCATCTAGCTCTCCATGAGCACATTTAGGAAACAACTCATCTGGATGGTTTTCATGCTTGTTTGTAATGTGCCTAGCAATGGATTTCCATTTCGCAATCGTCGTCTCATGTTTAGCGATTTTGCAACTGTTGCGTTCACGGTGAATGCAGAATCTGCGAAATGCATTGAACATAGCACAGAGTACTGCTGAGGAACGAATTTTGGCCTATGTCTCCTAACAAATTTCGTCCATTTATTCAGCCTCTCCTTGTCATTCATGGGGAAACGATGTACTGAGACACCCTCTGTGTGTTGACTGTTTGTACAACTTTTCCGTTGGGCCAACCAGCAACACAATATTGTCCTCCTCGACGATTTTTTGCAGAATTTTGCCTACTCGCCATATTTTAACTTGCGGTGTATCGTTACGTTTGACTAACTTAATAAAAAATTATTCTCCTTATATTATGTGCGTTGTGATAATATTGCATGGGTTTTAAAACCACAGACTACGTCAAGGATGCGACACCCATCTGATAAGAATGATAAGTCTAATCCAGAAGTTTATAAAAGTAGTATACATTGGATGATTGGAAATAAGCGCGTTACAGTTAGTTTCTGATAACATTGCGTGTGTGTTAAAACCGCAGACTTCGTCAAGGATGCGACACCCATATGATAAGAATGATAAGTCTAATCCAGAAGTTTATAAAAGTAGTATACATTGGATGATTGGAAATAAGCGCGTTACAGTTAGTTTCTGATAACATTGCGTTACAGTTAGTTTCTGATAACATTGCGTGTGTGTTAAAACCGCAGACTTCGTCAAGGATGCGGCACCCAGTTTATTGAGAAATATAAGTTAATTCAAGAAGTTTATAAAACTCTAATCGATTGTAAATGTTGCTTACCTATGCGTGTTGCTCATTTGTCACTAAATATACGCAATTTTTGCGAAGAGAAGTTATAAAATATGTAAAATTCCAGGTGGAAATATGCTTGTTCGTATATAATTTTTATATACTAAGAGCTTTAAAATTGAACTTCCGTCCTTTATATGACGTCACGCACTCAAAGTAAAATTCGCATCAAAACAAGCAAATATGCCATGTTTGAACACAAAGTTCGATGCGTTCCCATCGATTAAATTCAGTGGGCGATAGCTCAAAATGATCAGTAAAATACAGAGAAAACGTTTGTATCGAAAAACGAAATATGAAAATTTCACTTCAGTAGCACTTTAAAGGTTGAGGAGAAGTTGCCGGTCTTTTATCAGGATTCAAAAATTATAACCCGGAACGACAATGGACAGGAAACATTTAGACTTTATTACGTTTCATTAAACCATTACGAAGCAGTGCTGTACCATGCAGAGGAAAGAGCGGATTGTCTAAGTTTATTCAGGATTGAAGATGAGGAAAAAGCAAGAGAAATGTTTGGGTATGTTGAAGAGTAGAAATGCGGGTATTGAGTAGATGCACTTTTCAGTTTTCACTTCCCTTTCAAAGTTTTCTAATAAAGTAAATTTTTTGACTCTGAAGATGACTATCGCTAAGATTGTCGAAACGTCAGTCAACAACAACAAAAACAGACCTTCTCAGGACTATACCAACTTGAACGATCAACATTTACAAACATGTAAAGTTTTCACTATTAACAAAGTTTTATGTTAAATACCGTAACCCATTCTTTGAGAAATTTTTAATTGATACAAGTTGGCTATTGTCATTTTGTACATTATATACTTTCATACAGTGAAATTATATTTTAGAAATGTTCCAGTAATCAAGTATGTTACTTAAGAGTTAAGGTAGTAAATATTGTACGGTTTCAATTTGAAAATATAAGTTAACACTTCAATGAATCCCCAGGTACCACGGAGCAAATTTTTATACTGAGGGCTTATCAACCCATTAAGTGTCAAAGCTATCTAGGTGCCAGAGGGGTCTAGGAAAAAATTTTAAAATTTCAAAATGGCTGCAAATATCAATGGCCCCTTTTCTGCAGTCCCTGATTCGCTGCTTAAGATCTTATATGTTTAAACTACCAAATATTGATTGACAAAGTCCACGAACTATTACTTCTGCAAAAGATAATTGTTTCCTTTTTTTAATGAAGCATATTTTTTTAATATGTCTTTTTTGTTTTTAATCACAGGAAGCTATGTGAGCAACTCACACCTTTCTATCAATCATCATCAAGGTGTTACGACACTCAGACATTGCAATCCTTGCTCAACTGCCTTGAGGAAAATCCTGGTATGAATCTTTCAGTTGTTGCAAGGAAAACTGGTCTCACAGAATGTCTAAAGCATGAGAAAATTAGAGCAAGTATGGAGATTGTTGATGCCACAGATTCAGGTGATAATGGTGATAAGACTCTCTTGCAATGGGCTAAGGTAATTGTAAATACAAGCCACATGAGCTAAGGGGTTAGTTATGTAAATCAAGATGTCCATCCAGCTGAGTTAGAATGTCTGCAGCAAGATCAAATGATTACCTATGCTTTATTATACCAATTTTTAACTTGGCTTGTTTGGACAATTTGGTTCACAAAATGAAGTCATCATTCACTAGTGAGATGTAATTATAACAAAATGCCATAAATAAAAAAAAAACATAAATATAAAATTCCTTGGTTGAACATCTTATGTTCTTCAAGGTCTAATTAAGTAAAGCGAAGCCAAATAAATGTTTTGTTGTGTTTGGTATATGTATTCATCATTTCGATTCACAAGCATATTATTTTGAGTGCTGATTTAAATTTAACACACTCTGACTTTAACTTGTTTGTTTTAACACTCAACGATTTGTTACACAATAATTATAATGAGAATAACTTGGCTAATTTACGCAAATATATCAGCACCAATCTTTGCAAATATATTATGTACAGCAAATACTATAAAACATTAACTTTTCTTTCTTTGTTTCACTTAAAGTACATAAGTTACCTGTGGAAGATAATAAAAAGTTCATATATTCTCTCAACTCGTAAGACATTATTAAAGCATGTTGTTTCAAGGTAGACATTATCGTATGGTAGCCATAATATTTGTATGTTAAAAATTGCAGATTCTGTCTTTAAACTTGTGTTGATTATTTGTAATACCAGGTATTACCAAGGCTTTTAACACATGTATGTAAAAATTTTTTTGCCACAAGTCACAGGCTTTACTGCCAACAAGTATTAACATCAAAATATTTTGTTTTATAGTTTGGTTTCAAGGGACAGATTGACAACGTTGTGGAAGGAGTAGGCATAAGCTCACTTACTCAAGAAGATGATAAAGGCAACACAGTTATGCATTATGCTGTAAGCCAACCAGAATTACTTGATAAATTATTGCTTCGAGCAACTGAGCTTGGTAAGTAGTATAGCGCTAAATTGTAGCATTTGTTGTGCGTGAAGGTTTGGAGGTTTCATGTGATTTTCAATAGAATACATACATACATGAACTTTTTTATATTCAAAATTGAACACAGGCTTCAGCAAACACACTGCATGATGCGGCTTTTGTTTAAATTTTCCTTCAAGAACATATTTCACACTTACCATAGCAAACCATTAAAATAACAAGTTTCATGTATGAGGATCATATTGGTTCATCTATTCTAATGAAGTTCGTATTCTTTTGCAGGTGCTCAGGTAGTGAACAGTGTAAACAGTTCAGAAGAGACACCACTACATTTTGCATGTGTGATTAATAATGCAAAAGGTCTACAGGTATGTATATATACAATTTTATCTATCTTAGATGAACAGAAACCTCAATAAAGTAAATCATCATTTACACACATATAAAGAAACCTCAATAATATGTAAGAATGAGAATGTTGAAGTATGGCATTAATTGGCAGTCTGTCTATTTGGTTGTGCTTTGTATTATGAAATTGTTCTATAAATGGGCATAGCAGGACTGAAACTTGATGACCAGCTATAGTACTGCATGGGTTGTAAGTTCAATAAACCACTGCATAGAATGACTAAAGCTTGTAGGATGGCTATCCAACTGCACAACAGGACTAAAGCATGGAGGCCTGCTAAACCACTGCATAACAGGATAATACAAAGAGCATTACTAACATTTGAGGCTTTCTAGTATAATATTGCAAAGCAGGACTGCAATTGGTTTCAGGCTTTACACTTCAAATCATGACTCAAACTTGCTGGCCAGCTGCTGCACTGCATAACAGGACTAAAATTTGTATGCTGGCTATACCACTGCCTACTATCTTGCTGGCCGAGTATACAAAGAGCAATACTAATGCTTGAGGCTGGCTATACAATTCCAAAGCAATACTCAAACTTGCTTTACCTTTATTGCAGGAATAAATCTTGTTGGCCTGCTTTACAAATGCATAAGTAGACTGAAACTTGCTAACTTTGCTAAAGGAGAAAATATGCATGTAGGAAGGTTACTCAGAACCAAACTTGTGGCCTGTTTACATGCAGATAGGGTAACACTAGCCGAAGGGATATCCCAGTAAGCGAGTTACCCTACGACAATATATCTCATAAGTAGCGTTTTACATGTGCGCTATGGTAACCCTTGGGGTAGGTTTCCCTACCAAAACGTTAGCTTTATGTTTACCTTAGCAGTAGGGCTAATGTTCACTTCTCTTCTCCGGAGCATATTCACTTATGTATAGCAACATTGATTGGAGAAAAATCGCTTGCGGAGGATATAATTACACTCTAGGTGAACAACATCACTTAACAGAGTAAAAAATGAAATGCGAGGGGAAAGCGCAGCGGCTAAGGAACTTTTTCCTACGCCGATGCAGACGTTGATCGTTTAAATGCCTTTTCTTTGTTATAAAAAACTAAGTTTAAATGAAATAATATTTTATAAATCCCCCGTATTTCATTACATATACGTCCTAAATGGACGACTCCTGTACCTCCTTTTCTCTTTTTCAACTAAAGTTAACGCTTAATAAGATGTATAGGATATCTATGTATCCTCAATGACTGAAGCTGTGTAACTTTAGATTGTCCGGATATTTAAAACATTTTTCATTGAATGTAGTTGCTACTTGAACATGGTGCTGATCTGAAAGTTAAGAGTAAACACATGTTTCCTGTTCATGCTGCAGTGAAGTTCAATAGTGATGAGTGCATTAAGACGATACTCAAGTTTGATAAAGATTGCACAACTTTTAAAGATTCTAAATATGGAGGAACACCCTTACATTGGGTTAAAACTAGAAAGGTATGACCTCATAAAAATAAGATAACGTGTGTTAGTGTAAGCAGTGACGAATGAACAGAAAACGAGAACCGTCTTTACACTAACTAAAATATTTAAGAAATAAGATAACGTTTGCCATTGTAGGTAGTGATAAATGAACAACAGAGAATGAGAACAGTTTTTACACTAACTAAAATATGTAAGAAATAAGATAACGTGTCTCAATGTATGTAGTGATGAATGAACAACAGAGAACAAGAACAGTCTTTACACTAACTAAAATATATAAGAAATAAGATAACGTGTGTCAGTTTAGTTAGTGGTGAATGAACAACAGAAAATGAGAACAGTCTTTAAACTAACTAAAATACATAAGAAATAACATAACGTGTGTCAGTGTAGGTAGTGATAAATGAACAACAGAGAACAAGAACAGTCTTTAAACTAACTAAAGTAAATAAGAAATAACATAACGTGTGTCAGTTTAGGTAGTGGTGAATGAACAACAGAGAATGAGAACAATTTTTACACTAACTAAAATATGTTAGAAATAAGATAACGTGTGTCAGTGGAGGTAGTGATAAATGAACAACAGAGAACAAGAACAGTCTTTACACTGACTAAAATATATAAGAAATACGATGAGTTGTGTCAGTTTAGGTAGTGAATAACAAGTAAAATTGTTTTCTTTTTGTCTTTATAAAGATTGCAGAATTATTAATTATGAGTGAAGCAGATATTGAAGCCGGTAACAACGAAGGTGAGACTCCTCTCCACATCATGGTGAAAAGAAAAAGACAATCTTCAGTTGTATGTTTGTTGTCACATGGAGCAGATGTGAATGCTCTAGGAATGAGCAATGAAACGCCATTGCATATCGCCGTAAAGGTACTGAAAATTAATAAAAGTGAAACTCTTTATGAGATACTAAAGAAAAACTATTAATGAAACGAGACACTAGTTTGGAGTATATAAAGAGTCAGTTTCAACTTACATCAGATCACTTTTGATGAAAGCACTTGACTGGAGTGTATAAGGACTTAAGATTCAACATCAAATCACTCCTGATAAAGACACTATACTGGAGTATATAAGAACTCAAGATTTAACGTCAGATCACTACTGATGAAGACACTACACTGGAGTATATAAGAACTCGTGTTTCAACATCAGATTACTTCTGATCAAGACATTAGACTGGAGTATATAAGGACTCAAATTTCGACATAAGATCGTTCCTGATGAAGACACCAAAATGGAGTATATAAAAACGCAAGTTTCCACTTTAGATCACTTCTGATGAAGACACTGGACTTGAGTATATGAGAACTCAACTTTCAACGTCAGATTATTTCTTAAGAACACTCTAGAGTGCAGTATATAAAGTCTCAAGATTGAACATCAGATCACTCCTGATCGATAAAGACACAAGACTGGAGTAGAAGTCAAGTTTCAACAACAATCATTCTCTCACTCCTAATTTATAAACACTATTAATTTTTTTTAGGTTGGAGATGTACATATTGTAAAAACATTGATAGTATTCGGTGCTGACATAAATGCCGTGAACAGCAAGGGTGAAACACCACTTCATATAGCGACAGCATCAAAAAGTCTTTTTAGAAATGCTATTATACATTCTCTATGTCTCGTAGGAGCTGCTCCTTGCGATGCTCCTTTCATACCTTCAAAATATCCAGTCGGTAAGTTAATAATGAAATATTTCTTAGCACTTATACCTGTCATATCACACAGAGGACTGCCATCTTGGTAATAATTCTGTGTTTTAAAAATACTCGGATTTCATCCGACTAACATGTGTGCCATAGCTTAGTGCTTTAAGATTAAAGTGCTTATATAATGTATCACATTTTTTTACTACATTTAAGTAGAGGACAAAAAATTAGTTATTAAAGTCTTTAACATTTTTTGGTTTGCTCTTTTCATTCGCCAGATACTCGGCTCTAAACTTCAGTTTTATAAAAATGTTGCGTAGTAACTAGAGTTTGCGCGGGCAAAGTGTGACCGTAGCTTCCGACTATTTCTGTTGTTTCGAGCCGAATATCTGGCGAATGAAAAGAGCAAACCAAAAAATGTTAAAGAATTTAATAACTAATTTTTTGTCCTCTACTTAAATGTAGTAGAAAAATGTGATATTATCGTTTTAGGAGTTGTTGAACCATTTTGTCGATTTGTGAAACACGGAAATGTTTACATTAATAATCGTTTCTCTACGCAGGTAAAAAGCCTGGGAACGAACTGTCTCAGGCTCGTGATGACACCCCCATTATACTGGACGACATCGCGAAAATTATGGCATCTGGTGCCCAGGCCAACGTGAAATACAAACGGTCTGGATCAGGCAAGAATGAAAACGATGGAGAATCGATGATGAAGAAGAAAAGGAAAAGTGATAGTGCATTGTGCTTAGGTGAGGTACAACATTTGAATGAAGAGGATGCAACATGGTTGTCTTACGTGAAGTACATCATGTGCTCATATGGGATTGCAACATGGTTGTCTTACGTGAAGTACATCATGTGCTCACAGGCGATTGCAACATGGTTGTCTTACGTGAAGTACATCATGTGTTCGCAGGAGATTGCAACATAGTTGGCTCACGTGAGGTACATCATGTGCTCACAGGGGATAGTATCATGGGTGTCTTATGTGAGTACATCATATGCTCACAGGGGATTGCAACATGGTTGTCTTGTGTGAGGTACATCATGTGCTCACAGGGGATTGAAACATGGTTTCTATATGTGAAGTACATCATGTGCTCACAGGGGATTGAAACATGGTTTTTATATGTGAAGTACATCATGTGCTCACAGGGGATTGCAACATGGTTGGCTTACGTGAGGTACATCATGTGTTCACAGGGGATAGTATCATGGTTGTCTTATGTGAGTACGTCATATGCTCACAGGGGATTGCAACATGGTTGTCTTACGTGAGGTACATCATGTGCTCACAGGGGATTGCAACATTGTTGTCTTACGTGAGGTACATCATGTGCTCACAGGGGATAGTAACATGGTTGTCTTATGTGAGGTAAATCATGTGCTCACAGGGGATTGCAACATGGTTGTCTTACGTGAGGTACATCATGTGCTCACAGGGGATAGTAACATGGTTGTCTTATGTGAGGTACATCATGTGCTCACAGGGGATAGCAACATGGTTGTCTTACGTGAGGTACATCATGTGAGTTAAGGGGATAGCAACAATGCTGTCTTAGGTGAGGTACATCATGTGCTCACAGGGGATAGCAACATGGTTGTCTTACGTGAGGTACATCATGTGAGTTAAGGGGATAGCAACAATGCTGTCTTAGGTGAGGTACATCATGTGAGTTAAGGGATAGCAACAATTCTGTCTTAGGTGAGGTACATCATGTGAGTTAAGGGGATAGCAACAATGCTGTCTTAGGTGAGGTACATCATGTGAGTTAAGGGGATAGCAACAATGCTGTCTTAGGTGAGGTACATCATGTGAGAGAATATAAACTTGACTGACTATTGTAAGCAAAGCAATAGTACGTTTAATCATCTATATTTAAATATGTTTGAGGGCTATGGCGAAGATGGTTCTACGTAGATAAAATAACTGCTTTCAATGAGGCATGATTTGGTAATAGGAATATAGGATGGGAATATTTATCTCTTATCCGTTATTGCTGTTTGATTCACACGTGAAACACGGATAGCCTGTCTCATAAAGCTTGCTCAATTTGTTAACGAGGCTTTTCAAATAAGATGTTTGTCTAAAGTACGTATTCATTGCACGAGTAGTTTAGCGGTATGCGTTGTATTTGCGATGTTTATACAATTCAACGTTATCTACACTATTCTATCCGACAAAAAATGTTTTTCATTACTCTATCTTTTTTATTTCCTTTTGAAGATGGTGGCGGTATTCGCGGCCTCATTCTCATTCAAGTCTTGTTGAATCTTGAACGTGTTGCTATGCAACCGATTGTTAAGCTGTTCGATTGGATAGCGGGTACAAGTACCGGTGGTATACTTGCATTGGGGTTGTTAAATGGTAGGCCAATGTAATGTGGAAGTTAACTTTTGTTCATGTATATATTTTGAAATACTTCTTATCAATTATTGTTTTTGCGATAGGTAGTTCGATGGCATATCTACAGCAACTTTACTTTCGTTTCAAAGACGAAGTGTTCGTCGGCTCTCGTCCTTATCCTTCGGAGCCGCTCGAGAAATTCCTTCGGCAGGAATTTGGCGTCGATACTAAAATGACAAGCGTCAACTACCCAAGGTATTTTATCGTCATTTTTTGAGCAAGTAGCTAGGACAATACAGCATTTTATATAATGAAAAACGTTTTTTTAGGAATAAGGATTTTGTGATTAATATAGTTAATTGCTCTTGTTTAGAGTCCTTGCAACTGCTGCTGTTTCTGACAGAATACCACCAGCTCTTCATCTGTTTCGTAATTTTTCCATTCCCGAAGACGACGAAGAAGAACAAAAACCAAACTCTCCGTTTCCCCCTGTATCAAAACCTGCAGGTCAGTGAATGTATAGAGTTCCTTCCCTGTATCAAAACCTGCAGGTCAGTGAATGTGTAAATATTGCGTTTATTCAGTGTGTTTTGAAATGCTGTATATTAAAGGTTATGCTTTTCTTACCCTACTAAAGAGTAGTTCTAGCTATAAACTAAAATGCGTGCAATCGACTATTTGGTATAGTTGTTGAATGTATTGTACGCAGTTCTAGGGTTCTATCCGTACTGGGAACACATATTTAGCGAACTCCATTTCATTTTTTTTAGATCAACTGATGTGGCGTGCGGCGCGTGGGACTGGTGCTGCTCCGACTTACTTTCGGGCCATGGGACGCATGCTTGATGGAGGCTTAATCGCCAACAATCCGACACTTGATCTAATATCATTCGTGCATTCTTTCTATAAGAGAGCGGAACCACAGAAACCAAATCACGAAACTTGTCACAAAATCGGTCTCGTGTTCTCGGTGGGAACCGGTAAGCCACCGGATGTGCCCGTCAAAAACATCGACGTGCTTCGGCCGACGTCTATGAGTGACTTGGCGAAAGTTGCCTTCGGAGCTCAAGCTTTGGCTGAAATTCTTGTTGAACAAGTTCGTAATTAAACTAAATACAAACGATGGTGTTGTTGTTGTTATAAATTTTGTTGCAAACATTTGTAAGGTGTCATAACTTTTTGGAATGTTGAATATTTTATTTATAAATGCAATTTTTAGTGTCCTTAAGTATTTTGTTCTGGCCACTCTAACTTTTATCTATTATTTTACAGGCAACCTCATGCGTTGGTGCTGTAGTTGACCGCGCAGCGGCATGGTGCGAGATGATAAATGTGCTCTACCATCGCATAAATCCAAGGATATTCTCAGATGTTCCCCTGGATACGAAAGACGATCAACTACTGGTTAACATGTTGTGGGAATGTCAAGTTTACATATTCGAACACAGACATATCATCAAAGAACTTGCAGATCACCTGACGTGATGTTTAGACGGAATATATTTAGAGTTTTTATTACTACAGAATAATTATAGATATAGTTGCCAAATTTTATAACAGGGGGGCTGTCTGATTTAAATTACCACTGCTGCTGGTTCTCAAATATATATTTTTTCTACTAACGCAGGACATAAAATTGTAACAAAGGAGGCTGACCCACCCCTCCCCCTCTACAATGAACTCCTGAAAAACCTATAATTCCTTACTTGTCAAATATGCTCATAGCCATTATTTTTTCAGTTGTGAGTGCAACAAAAGGCTGATTGACACAGGTTTTCGCGCGGAATGACTGATAACCCGCTTGATTGGTAGGTGATGTCGTCATTTAACGACAACCGATCACATTGCAAATTTAATGTAGCCAATAAAAAATGAATCGAACATAGGCTTATTACTAATCAATATCTTATTGTATTAGATGTACCAAAAAGATTTTTAGCCAGTGTTCAAAATACTAAAAAATATGAAAAACACCTTATATATCGTAACAAGTTTCCAAAATGAATCAGTAGTTGTTTATCGTAAAGGAGATACTTCATGTATTACACTAGTGTGAGGAAGTATACAAGTGTGACTACTTCCTTGAGGTAAGACACGGACCACGAAAAGAAACATGTTACTGCAACCAAAATGTAATGTGGTGGCAAAATGCTTCATTTAAAGCTACTAAGATACGTTTCTGACGGCCCACACCCGAGATGTGTTGTCAGACGAGTAAACTTTCGACAAGTTAAATCGTCAACTTCAATGTGCTTAAAATGGTTGCAGAATGTAAATGATGCTTCTAAGGCATGGTCTCATCCCAAAATCTCTAGTTTGTACGAAAAGACTCGTCCAGATTACAATCTGGATTCGGTGAAATATCTTTTGGAAAAAGTAGGCGCTTTAAAGAAACATTCTGATCTTGAACCTTTCACCATTGTTGAACTTGGTGCAGGTACTGGCAAATTTACAAGAGCCGTTCTCAAAGTTTTAAAACAACATAATGTGGAAAATTTCAAAATCATCTCGACGGAACCACTAAAATCAATGTGTGATAAATTCAAAGAAATGGTACCTGAAGTTGAAATAATACAATGCTCTGCAAGTGATTTATCAGGTATGTGTGCCCCTCACCCTGCACAAGTACACGTGACATTAGAGGAGGTTCCACTAATTTCCAACAAGAACTGAAATGATTGAGTTGTCTATTGAATTATTTTGCATCCCTCATTCAAAGCTAGGGTACTGATATACCAAAACATCTATCTTACATCAAAGCTAGGGTACTGATATACCAAAACATCTATCTTACATCAAAGCTAGGGTACTGATATACCAAAACATCTATCTTACATCAAAGCTAGGGTACTGATATACCAAAACATATACCTTACGTTCTGTATATATGATCAGGGTTTTTATTGCTTCGAAGTACAACAAAGTCCATTAACAGAAATAGTAAATCTATATTTTATTGGGAATTTTTATTGCTATTGTCACAGTGTTTTAATCGAAAAACCATTCATATTAGGTAATTACCAATGTTAGAATTTCAAATTGACTGCCTAAGGGAAATTAGGTTTTCTTTGCTCTTGAGTCATGTAAAGTGAAACTTTTTGTTAAGGTTAGTCTGTTGAATGCAGCACCATTCTTGAAGCTTATACACTTTATATGTAATGGCATATTTGATTGTACATCTACTAACAACATATTTGATTGTACATCCCAAGTATGATTGGCCTAACAAAACATATTGAACATGAGCATTTGCAGTAATGACTTCCCGACTTCTCTACGTACTTAAAACTTAAAATGCAATTTTATTATTATGTACCATTATCAGTACGTATGTTGATAAAGCCAGCATAAGAAAGATTTTATCCATTGTGATAGTGGTGACAAATATTGATTCTCTCTGAGCATCATGGGATATGGAAATGTTGTATTTTGCTATCAAATCTATCAACAGTCTTGTTTTGATCTGGCAAATTATAAGATTTGGTTTTTTAAGGCATAAGAAATTTGAACTACATTTTAAGTTTAAGAAGACAGCATCTAGGCTAATCTTGGGCTTTTACAACAAACCTGAATCCCATTTAATGTTGAAATGAAGATAGTTAGCCTTATAAAGTAACAATAGCTTATGAATTTATTATTGGAGAGTATGTATGAATAATGGAGATTACTGGAATATTATATATAGTGAAAATGGCTACACTAAATTGTTCTTTTAATCAGAGCTCAAGAAATGTGGTTTTCCAATATTATTGGATGTTTTATGTTTGTCACATGAAATTGGACAAAGTTGATTTCAACCTTTCTATCTTGAGACCAGGGCCATTTTTAACTGGCGTTTGCCCTGCCATCCAGGCCCTTATTCTGCCTCCTACCGACGGATTTTCGCCCCCCCCCCTTCCGCGAGTAAGACATTTTGATTTTACAAAATAATAAAGAGTTAAGGAAACGTGTGAATTGTGAAACAAGCATTTGCTAGATGACGTCAATGCAACATGAGGTGTCCGTATACAATTGGTTTTCGTTAGTAGAGGTCTGGTTCACTTGACTCTGAAGATGACAACGAGATGATTGTCGAAACGTCAGTCAACATGAACACCAACAGTGCATTCTCAAGACTACTAACTTGGACAATCAACATTTAAAACACCGGGTTTAGACCATTCAGTGTTATGTATTATCTCTCTCAATCATAACACTAGATCTTTTTTGTCATTCTCACTCCACACACCCTACACCCCACCCCACCCCACCCCCACCCTGAGAAAGTTTTAACGTGCATGCGTGAAAGCAGTCACGACCATAAAACAATGGAATGCGTAAGGTTGTCATGCAAGTACGTGAAAAGGAATTGCTGGCATTGTTTTTACATAGCGCGAAATTGCTTTTCAAAAAAGCTGCAAAAATTTGAATTATTTTATCATATGATTTTGTTCGCATCTTAAATGTACGTGAAAATTTTTCTTCTATCAATGCTAGAACTTTAGCATAGTGAGTGCCACAAATTTCTCTGTTTTCGTTTTTAGTTTTTACAGTTTACTCGCACGTGTATCCTCTTGTTAAATAAAGTCTTCTTTCACTAACTCGTTTATGACATACAAATATAAGCGAATCAAAGTGTGATTTTAACATACACTCGCATAATTATGAAATACAAAATATAGCTAACACAATTGACAAGCATCAACTGTGCGCAAATTAACAAAGAGAGCAAAACTTCACAAGAATCACGACCGCCTATAATTGAAACTTCCAGTTGAGCTTGGAATGTGCGCTCCCCCCTTTCGCTCGCGATCTTAGTTTGTGAGTGATTTGCGTTTGATCTGTTTGAAACTTTATAAGTGATGCCTTTTTGTTGGATATAAATTGACGGCTGGTGTATGTCTTTCTCTTCATCATTCTGACATTTCAACTTTCTACAACCCCATAGATTTTCCTGATCACATGATAGATACAGTATTAGCAGCTCAATGCTTCCATTGGCTTTACTCTGAAGAAAAAGCAATCAAGGAAATCCACCGAATTTTGAAGCCACTCGGAACTTTGGGTCTCATATTTTATTATCCTGATCGATCTGTTCCATGGATCAGAAGTATTGAAGAAATGCTCGATCCCAAATATACGGCGGTCGGACAAATTAATACTTACGATGAAAAAATCCTTACTCCTTTGCTCAATGTTGGGTTTTGTGAGGTAGCATCTGATGTTTCTGCATTTATGTGTTGTCAAGAGCTCGACAGAAAAGACCTTATGGAGAGATACAAAACAAAGAGTGTTGTTTCTGCTTCAAATCAAGATGAAAAAATGAGAATACTGGAAGCCATCGAAGAAATATTGACAACAAATGCGAACACGAAGTATGATGGGAAATATTTTTTTGATTATGTGATGAAAATTCACTGCTTTCAAAAGTTTTGAAAAAAAGTGAATTGCTCTTTAATACCATTGGATTAAAGTGACACGAGGGTCCATTTATTAGAAAACTCCTTACATTTCCATTTTATCCCTAGTAATGGAAATGACGTCTTGAAATCATTTTATAAAGCAATCATTTTGTGGTTTTGATGACATGATGCACACACGTGGTATTGTTGATCGAGGTCAAGCATGTCCAGGAAAGTTCGTCTTTGGCTCATGTTTCGCTGGCTTTTGAGCATGGTTTTCATTTTTTTTTCAGAAATGTGCAGTTAAAATGACACTTTTTCTCGCTTGTTAGAAAAAAAAGTGCCGCAGACTCAGAAAATGTAAAAAGTTAATTATATGCGATCAAACTTAAAAAGCCTAACCCTGACCCTAACCCGAGTCTTTGGAAACAACAAACATTTTTAAGTGTTTGCCAGAAATATACTGAAGTGAAGTTCCGACGTAAGAAATGATGTCATGTCATTTGGTAGTTGGAGAAGAGTAACGACCGTCGAAATTCGTCGAAGCTTTGAACCATTTCTAACAGTAATGATGAAAAGTCCTACAAGGCTACAGAGGCTACGACTCAGCAGTGGCAGATTACTCAGTACGCTAAGTATAGACTGAATCCTACAGGCCCGCCTTTTCCATAGGCCCGTTGTATTTAGACATAGCTTTTACTTTTGCCATTCCGCACTTGCTAAATGTTCGACAATGTTAACTGTACGATCTTCTGTTTTAATGCACGATGCACTGAACTCGTGAAGTAGTGAGTATCCCATTCGAACTTTAAATTTATTTTTTATTGTTTACACTACATGAATTACAAACAAAAACAGGGAAAGGCAAAAGCAAAGGAGCATGAGAAATGCAAACGTCATCAAGAGAATGAACTTATTTGGAGGAATAATTATCACTTAAAGGTCAGCAACTTTGTCTTAACCTACAGGCCCTGTAATTAGTAATCCGCCACTGAGGCTCAGCCAGTGTGGTTTCAACTTCAACCAGTCGTTACCAGACCGTTTTTTAGAGCACTTAAGATTTATTTAATTAGTTTAAAAAAGTACGTAAAAGTGTTACTTTGAAAATTGACACTTAAAAAACCATGTTTTATTTTCTTTTTTAAAACATTTTGTTATGTAATAATATCAGTTATCAACATAAAATAAAGCAAACCTGTTTGTTTTCGACAAGTTTTTCTATTGGCTTTCTTTATTTTCAGACTTTTGGGTTTCTATTGATTTTCAGAAATATTGTGATCTCTATACTTTTTCAGATGCTGCTTATCAGGGATGATCAAGCGCCCCCTCCCCTCACTCGTAGTGGACGACCCCTCCCCTTTGTGTTTTTCGGAAATTAGATATTTTAGTACGTTTTTGGCATGTGGAAATGTTGAGTAATGATTTCCATCCTAAATAATAACATTTCTAGTATCTGTGTTTTCGTCCGTGTGTAGACAATGACGATAGCTTTATTTTGGCCTCCTCACTTTCAAAGAGACGAATGCGTTGTCTCTGTTTTTGGCCTTATATAATAATAATGTCAACAAAAATTTAACTGTCAGCCTTAACATTCTGTTCCGTTAAACTAACAGTGGAAATTTTTGATAAAGCTAGCGTATTGCAATCAGAAGTGATGAAAAACAAAGAGGTTTCTTGAACAAATGATCTCAAGAATAAATGTATCTTTCTTTAGTAGCTATATCTCAGTTACTAGTTCCTTGGTAGATTTTATGAGTGGAGCCTTAGAGACATCCAGTAACGTGAAATATCCGCTCTTTTTGGGAAAGAACACGTGACTAGCACTTTCTAGGGACCTACATAGATAAGGGGCTGTTGTCCTGTCTGTCCGAAAAATTTAGTAAAATGGACAAAAAAGTATTGAGTAGCACAAACTATAGCGATTTCGATTTCATTTTTAAAATCTTTGGAAGATAAAAATTCCCTTATATTTTTACGTATAAAAAATTAGTCCTTGTTGTTTTCAATTACTTTTCTGCTAATGACTTTTTTCATGCAATCTATTAGCTATACCATTTCCAATTATTTATTACAGGAAATATATTGTAACTTCATATAGATGTTGACACCAATCTTTTCTAAATTATGTTAATCAGTCTTTCAATAAGTATTTGCTCTGCTACTTAGCTGAAAATTTCAATCATGAAACGATGAATGGACCAAGAAGGACTTTTATTTGATTGAGGTATTGGTCATGTTACCAACATAAATACATTCATCTTGAAATCTGCACAAATGTCCACGACGACAACACCTAAAGTTATTGCAACAAGTTGCAAAGTGAAAAGGGCAACAAAAATAACCACTTAAAGTACCGTCGCTTTCGTAGGGACAGCAAGTTGCATCTTTTTGCAAGAATACCATTGCTCCTTCGCGAATCCAGAAGTTTTTCTACCCACGCCCTTTAAAATGAATTTGATATACAAACATATGAATGTGTATGACTTAGACCAATGTAAATACTTTTACACGTGCATGGTTATACTTCTGCAATATTTTCTCTCCGAACATGAACATGTTAAACTCTTTGTAAGACAATACAAATATGGTAAAAACACTTTCATTAAGTTGTACGCCAATACAATTTTTGCTGTATATCTCAGCGCAAAAATTGTTCTTCGTGTTTCTATTTTCATCTTAAGTGTGTACGATTTAATCTCTTTCAAATTATCTGCTTGAAAAGGTTTTTGCAAATTATTTCTGTTTGATTTTCTGTACAACGTGTGGACACACAAATGAGCGCTCATAGCAACAAGTTATTGCGTAGCAATCTCGTATAGTAAGCTTAGTAACTTGAATAATTAATTAGTATAGGTAATAGCATTTGCACGAGAAGCTGTATGCTTATTCAATTTCTCAATTGAATTCTGTTGATTTTTAACTTTTTTAGCAATGTACGTACATTTTAGCCGGCAAGTTATTAATATCGACTGGATTGTATTTTTCAATTCCATCAAATCTTACAGTTCATAACACCGTAGCTTGCAAAACCGCTTGTACAAGGTACCTACTGTTAGCAGTCTTCATATTTTCATGCAGAAACACTTTGTAAACAGTGAACTGTAAACTCGTCAGCCATAGGAAATCTACTATCTACTTAAAACTCACGCCAGCCGTTGTAATTGCTTTGTTTACAATACTTTAACTTTCCCGCCTTCAAAATGTTTTAATATGATTGGCTCTTAGATCACTTTTTTATCTGACTAACCTATCCGGAGCACAGTTTTCAAAACTAAATTGCACTGTATTTCCTTTTTTTTGTACTGTGTTTCACATTTTTACACTGCTGTTTACGATATATTGCACTGGTCGTAACCAATCAAAATTGGGAACTTTTTTCATGCATATTATTAGAACTGTAATTGACATAAATTTTTGCTTTGTCTAAGGAAAGTTTCGTTCAGAATCAATCGAGCGAATGAAATGGGAATACGCACATGCGCAGTGGCTAACCACAATAAAAAACAAAATGTCGTTTATACGTGCTCAGTTCACTACGTCACAGCCAATAAACATACTGATTAAGATGTTCGCAAAAAAATTCCTGAAAGTTGCAATTTTCAACATTCATAACATCATTTCAGCAAATTAAATTTGTATTTATAAACGAACAAATGAAATCAGCAGGGCAGAGCTGAATATATGAATATATATACACCCCACCCCCACCCACCCCTCCTAATTAGAGTTCTAGTTTCGCGCCTGGATGCTTACTTCTAAAGTCTAGGGATGGGACACAGATCACACGTTAAAAACGACGAATCATGTTAGATATTAACTGCCACAAAAATGTCATTATTAAATCATCAACTTCGATGTGCTTACAACGATTGGAGAATATAAATGATTCTGAGCATAATCTGATCCCGAAATCTCTAATTTGTACCAAAAGACTCGTCGAGATTACAATCTGAATTCGGTGCAGGTACTGGCAAATTTACAAGAGCCGTTCTAAAAGCGTTGAAACAACATAGTGTGGAAAATTTCAAAACCATTGCGCTGAAACTACTAAAATCAATGTGTAATATATTAAAAGAAATTGTACCTGAAGTTGAAATAATGCAATGCTTTGCAAGTGATTTATCAGGTATGTCTCCCCCTTCGCTCAGCACGAGTACACGCGATATTAGAGGATGTCCCACTAATTTACAACAAAAATTGTGAAATTAATACCCAACATGCCTATATTGAAAAATTTTGTATATCACTTCATAGGTATGGTTGATATATTTAAACCTATATGATCAGGGGCCTGTTGTATAAAGCTCTTAACTACTTTTTAACTACACTTTCTGCAGTTAAAAAGTAGTAAAATTTAACCATGCGTTTAAGTCGGTTGTTTTAAAAAAGCAGTTAGCTCTAACTGCAGTTAAAAGGTAGTTAAAGTTAACTATGCTATGGAGCTACGGTCTACATTTACAAACATGTAAAGTTAACTATGCTACGGTCTACATTTACAAACATGTAACGATACTCCCGGGTTCAAACCATTTACTTTATGCATGGATGCGTTATCCAGTGTAATATACATATCAGTGGCGCGCACATATAAAATGTACATACGTCGGCAACCTATGTTTAACATATCTATGGTTTGTAGCACGTGTTCAGTGAGTCGTATTATCAAGAGTAATAAAATATTGAGCGCTCTTTTGAAGATTTTGACAAATTGCAATTATAATACGGTTAGTATTTGATTTGTCATGTACTGCTGAGCAATATATTTTATGCCTTTGATTGAGGTTTTAAATTATTGGATCTAACTTGCCAAGCTGGCATAATGGCATTGTGAGGTTGTATCGATGTCTCGTTTACTTTGTGAAAACGTTTTGAAACAACTTCTTGAAACGGATATTTTCTAACGACGTTGTGAACAACGTTGTGGAAAGAAGTTGTAAATGAAAATGTGGACTCAGTTTTCATTCGACCGCGTTTAGACAGTGTAGTATTATCGCTGCGGATAAAGCCACGTTTGCCCAGAAATTCGCTTGTGCAGTGTAAACACAGCCCCTGTTCGGTTACCTTTTCGCATCGTTTTCACTCTTATCTGGAGTAACCTAAACGTAGTGTTAGTACAGTTCTTTCATATTTGGCCAATAATCACCAAAACTTAGTTCTGTTAGGTATTTCTGGTAACAGTTTGTGTTTTCATCTCAAATATCGCAAATACTTCGCCATGATAATTCGGCTATTGTAAGACAATACTGACATTTGGAAGTATATGATCGCGTATTCCTTCTTTTGATTGATAATCATATTATCATTTAACGATGTCATTTTTTAATATTGTTGCCAATGTATTGCCAGGCGGGAAACGGATTCTCAAAATGAATATTAGAGCCCAACAAATAATTTTTAACATAGTCGTATACAATTTGATTTTATGAAACTGATTAAAATAGTTACGTCTCGTCTCTGACTTAAGACATCTTTAGACTAATAAGGAAGTTAACAAGAATTATAGATATAGAGAGAGTTATTGAAATGTACGAGTAAAGACAGTTGCTAGGTTTATAAGACAAATCTTGAGATTTTGCGGTATTATGATTACGAACCACCGAATAAAAGAGTGAAAATGAACGAATAAAACATAACATTACAAATTTTTTGTGAAATAATGTATATCTCACCTCCAAATACAATATTTATTACTTTTTGGGAAATTTTTGGTCCCGCCGGGCGGGAATAGCGGGACTGCTAGCTACGCCACTGACTAAACTCTAATATGAAGAAATGTATTTCATTCAAAACTGACATTGATTTTTATATGAAAAATAAACAAAAAAGCTGTCATATTTTACAATTTCAGTTAAAGAATCTCCGACAAAGTCATGTTAAAACTATTAATTGTTGCAATATTGTATTAATGTCAATATTCTATTATTACCTTACAGATAAATAGTCAAGACATGATAAAAAGGGATCATAATGGGGATGTAAAAAACCCTGAGATTGAATCGGAAAGTACAGACAAAGATAATAAAGGTAAGGTTACTTTGAACAATTATTAATAGCAATAAATTTTAATACACATTAACCATGTAATTATATCAAATCAAATTGTTATGCATTGTAATTGTGAATGATCCCTGAGCTCAATCGCTTGTACATGCTTATATATTCTTGATTAAGATCTAAAATTTGCAAAGAAAACACTTTTTGAAGAAGTGTTT